ATCTCAAACACGCGTTCACCTCGCGCGTCCGGGTTCAATTGCAAGGCAATGGATTGCTGATTAGGTTTAACAAGAGTGAAACTGTACTCCCCTCTTCATACTGGACTCACCAGAATGAATCCACCGGAGCAGAAGAAGGACTATTCAAACGAGAGTAATGTGAGCATGGAAACATGTTTTCTTGAAGGACTACTCGCAAAATTTCTGAAAACCCAACTCATGTAATAAACACCAGATTAACCAGTTATCTTAGTAGTCCACTCCCGCCAGCTCTTATATATCTTATTCCCATACCACGCTTCTGCGCATCTAAATCGGCTTTTACTAGATCCCTTGTAACGTAATACCGTATGTTAGAAAACCCAACCCCTGGTCGCTAGCCCATTTAGTTCAAATCTACCTATTTCCTATTCCATATAGTCATTTGTCAACACCCTAGTCGCGGCAGACGTCAGGTTTTCTTTCTATGTATATTAATGCATATTATCCCATTTGATATCCCCTCAAACTCAGCATTTTTTACGAATCTCATCTCATCCCATCACCTCATCTCTCCAAGATTTGAACTTCGGAAAAGCCCGTTTTGGACGACCTGGTTAACTTATATCCACCCCACCTGGCCTATGATGTAAAACCAAGAGGTTACCAAATGGACCAAGAAAACCTGCGGTCCCATACCGACTTCGCTCCAGCTTGTTCTGAAGTGAGTCCCACTGCCCAATGAACTGCACACCCCAGCCGAATCACCGTACATGTGACGTCCGTTACGGGCTGTCCAAAAACTGAAGCATGGATCTGGAGAGGCAGCATAATTGCCACGAAATGGCCGGCCGATTTGAACTAAAGCCCAAGACCGTCACTAGGGTTTTATGGCCTTGAGTTGTTGGGCGTATGGCCGCAGAAAACCTAAGTGAAGATGGTGGATTGGGGTAATATGCAGTACGGACGAATGGTAGTAGGAAACTCAGAATCGCAGTGTGCAGTGAAACTAGAACGACTCAAAAGTGTTGCTGATGGGGCAGGGTCGGGTGTAAAAGTTACTTGGGAGAACGAGTTCACGCAAACTGTACGAAACTTGACTGACTTGGTGAGGAGCACGAATGAAAGTCGCCAAGATCTTTACATCTGGCAGAAGGTTCGGCAGATTGCAACGAACGCCCCTCGGTGGTGGCTGGTGGCCTGACTGATTGTGGTTGTCGGTAAGGGAACGTGTGGGCGAGTGGGCGCAGTCAAAGTGGAAGTTGAAAAATTACGGGTGTGTTATCAAACTGGGTATCACAGTGCCGTACCGTTAC